GGCTATCTATGTATTCGGTATATTTGTATGTATTCAATGCATTGTATAAATAAACTTACATTGTATTTCATATCAATTTTCATAATTTCATTTATTTCCATAAGTCATTTTAGACAGGGGGTATGGGGAAATATTACGAAAGGTTAAGAAACACTGTCATAGACGATGATGAACACATAAAGAATCTGAAATTATTTTATTGACATCTTTGCCAAACAAAAATGTAACCAAAAATGTAATAAAAAAACTCAAAAACAGGACAGAACTAATCAGATTGAGTTCATATTCCTAGTCATTCTGTCAATAATAGTTTAAACAGGGAAATACATTTCTAACATTTCTCCTAATATCAACTGACTATATGCTGCAGACTAGGCACAGCCCACTGATTAAATGTGAACCCAGTGTGGTATTCAGTGTGCGAAGAATTTTACAAGTTAAAGTGGGGTTGTTACCAAGGCTTCCATTTCAAATTTTGGCTCTGAGTAAGGATCCTTTATAAATAAAATCATTTTTCAAGTTTTTATTTAATATTTATGGTACAGTATCCTGAATTTGTTGGCATGGTGTAAATGGGCATAATGCAGATTATCAATATTACTAATAAATTAAATAAAGACTAACATACGGTTTAATTTTAATTCAATAATTCGCTTGCGCATAGGGGTCTTTAGCAGTGGGAGGAAACCGGAGGACCCGTAGAAAATCCACGAGGTTGGACAGGTGACCCTACTCCTTGTCACGTACAACCGGGGATTCGAAACCACGCCAGTCGACCCAATGACAGACTTTATGATACAGCGCGCGCACGCTAACCATTCAGCCATCCAACCCCCCATAAATTAAATAGCGTTGGAATATAGGATTATCTTAATTTCTTGGTAAGCAAGTTTTAATAATCTATTAAGTATTATTTATTCTAATAATTCAGTCAAGACTGTAATATCGCTTTATACAATTTACTTCGGTCTCTTTCTCCAAACACATTGTTGAGAATATACATAATATGTCTGTGCTAATTTTTAATATGATAGTTAATTGAATTCGAAAACATTTGATTTCCTTCATTTCTGTAGATGAAACTAATCTCTGTCACTGTAATACAGTTGTAGCAGCTTTATTCAAGGAAATTCTTTTGACAAATGCACAATGATCCAAAGGTTTTCAAATAGAGACTGATGAACGATGGACCCATTCCTGATATTTAATAAGATTTTCAATAAGTATTTTGGTCAATTTTTAAGACAAGCAGTTAAGACCGACATACATGGCCAAGTTGGAGCCCACACATCACAATCCCATAAGAAAGTTCAGTTATTTCAAATAAACAATCTAATGAACACTGCCACAATAAAAAAAATCCAAATATAGAATCCGAGACCATACTCAATCACAATCCAACTTATTCTTACTAACAAACATATTAGCTTTACAATGTTCAACTAATTCTAAACCTAACTGCAGGCCATCTGACATTAATTTCTATTGATTTCACATTGCCTATCCTTATTTGACTAAGTTCCAAGCTCTATAATATTTTCCATACAAACCAACACATCCTTCATACAATTTTAGTACATGGATTTGAATACGAGCAACATTTTAAGTAAAATCAACTTGAATCGTACATATATTTAGACAATCTGGTTTATTGCGTCTCTTGTATGGGGGGGGGGGCGGACTGAAAAGTTCTAAGCCCATCTGTGAAAGAACTGTATAATAAAGTCGATGGTTCCATTTATTTTTCTACTCCCCTTTGAGATGTAAGACTTTTGCCAACGATGTTGCAAGGCTTTTTCTTTAGTCACCCTTAAAAAGTCGTCCACGGCTCACATGACGCCATCATTATTAGGAAAATTATGACCAGCTAGTCCCTTTTCCATTTCTGACCAACAAATATCAAAATCTGCTTCAAAACCGCGCAGATTGTTACGGGACATTAGGAATCGGACACGTTTCTGATCTGCAGTCAAGAGCTTTGGCACTGATCCTGTCGAAACTCGTTGGCGATAATGTGCTGTGCCCAATGCTCTCATGAGAGATGCCCACAACACTTGGTAATATGTTGAGTGCTCAATCGTGGATCAGACATCACCATGTCATTTACTACACAGGCTTTCTCTGCCACGCTTAAATTCTGCAGCCCACTTCTTTACTGTGGAAATGGAAGGGGCATCATCTCTTGTGGAGACCATGTCAGCATGTATCTGTGTTGGGGTTAGCCAATGGTTATGTCCATGGGTAGGTTCACAAGATGGTCTGGTATGAGGGCAATAATAACACTAAAGTTGCAGTTCTATGTTTCATTCAATGATTGTACTTCTTGGTAGCTAAAGTTTTTTTTAACCTAATTGATCTATCCTTTTCTAAATTAGAACTTTTCAGGATTGTTTTTACCATTATTTCGATCTAATTATCATAAAATGTCAAATGGTTGTTAATTTTGGTTATCTTCTCTCAATAAAAACTTGTTAAAGACTTATACAAGCAATTACATGTCTAGCGCCAATGAATTAGGACAATAATTATATGATACCATCATAATTACAAAGGTCCTGTTTAATATTTTCCGTATAAAATCTAACATAAGTAACTTCCATCAATATTATACAGTATAAATAACCTTTTAGCTTTCTAAGCCATACAGTAATCAAGTTACAGCAACACCTATGAATGTGGACCTTTAAAGTTTCGTTTAACAAAGCAAGATAAGGAAGTTATGTCAGAAAAGTAAATAGAGTTTTTATCATTTTAAAACAAAGAATCACTATTCATTTATTGGATACATTTTCTCTCATCTACAAAAATTGTTTGGATGAAGATCTTACTTTAACAGACACTTCTTTTGAAGTCTGACATCCTAATTATATGAGGCCAAAACAAAAATTACCTGTGTTTACAGTTACCTGTCAAACTAACCAAAACAAGCCAACAGTGAGGCTGAGGTTCCCCCTCCCCTTAAAAAAGATTGAGCAAAGATTGAGCAATCCAACTGCTTACTTATTCTTCGCTTAGCCTAAACATAAAATGCTAATGATCAAACTTAGTCATGGTTTTGATGTACAGTAGAACTATACACCAAATTTCATTATTCTCCCTTAATTAGAATTAAAGTCAAACATCAATCAATAAAATTCTTTTTGATAGTCAAAATTTGATCGTGTCTGTGGTTGGCTACTCTTAAAGACTTTCCTTCCTTGTATTCACAGTGGGAGATAAATTGCCGAAATTGACGGAATGTGCGGTTAGGTCATTTCTCTCTGTAGACCTTGACTTGCTATTAGGTTTACAAGTTCTATATTTGCGAGTTTTACCACACTACAGGAAGTTGGCAGATAGTTAAGCAAACTATAGCTCATCTAACAAATCTCCACGGAACATGTAATATTATTAAATACATTTTAAGTCATAAATGTCTTCTAGTTCTATGCTTAATATTAATGGGAGTAATTTGATAGTATTTAATTATGATCAACAATAAATTAAATTGCAGTGTCAGTTTACATCAATTTTAAATGAAAGGATGACAACAATGATATTTCTAACGACCAGGAAAAATAAAATTATAAACTACATAATAAACCAATAAAATATTATGTTACTAATTCTGAAGAACCAGTCAATGGCTTTCAATTTGAAGTTTGTGTGTACTGTTGTTCCGTTCTTAAGAATGAAGAGGGCTCTTGCTAGAGTGCTTAAACACTTATTCATAATGTGTGTATATCATAATATACAATGATTTTGGTAACAAATATGTTTGTTTCCTTGTCAATAGTAGTATAAATATGTTTTTCAAACGTTGGTTACATAGTCTGGAACTGGACAGTTGAACACATCTGATTGGTATGATACATATTCAAGTTAGTATCCATTTATGAGGACTTTGACCACATTCCTACACTAGAAACATGACATATAACATTAACAAGTTGACCTATGTGGGTAAATAACATAAATAAATCAAAGTAAATATTAGGGTAAATGTGAAATATGTCAACACAATAACATAATTTATTATATCACTATAACTTATTGTTCTATTACTTCTATATTAGGATATCAACCTTTGTACATTGGAACAATAAGCAATACAGGAATGTTGAAATGAAAATAAGGGAGTGGAAAGGGCATTGGAAAAGTACCATTTACAAATCATGGGCAGATCTTTTTACAAAATACATTGTTTATTTAATATTTTTTAAAAAATTTTCCCTGAAGTATTTATAAGGTTTTGACGACAAAAAATAATAAATAAAATTGTAGATCTATGATCAACCATTATTTGACATTGATAAAATACATCTATATAAACTACAGATCCTTTGTATCCATCAATAATCTTTTTTAAATTTCATACCAGTGCAAGTCTTAAAAACTTTTGTTGCTTACGGGGGGAGGGAGTGTATTTTGAAATCCAATCATTGTAGCAACTTCTATGTCTGTCTGTGCATGTTAAGGTCTTCTGTAAACTGGCGGGGCTCAACATTAGCTGTTCCAGTCACTTGCCCTTCAAACAAATAGTTCAACGATTCTACTTGTACAAAAATAGAAATTGGTTGCTTGAAAGTACAAATTTTACAAAGTTTGCTACAGGTAGGGTGTGTGTATGTTTGTGTATTCTGATACAAATTGAAATGAGGGAAACCTTTCAAGGACACCAGTGTTTCTGCTTACTCTTTGTCAAATTCCTACTGCAAAGGGTTCTTTTACGTGCACACCAACATCTAAATTTCTTGGGCAACACCTTGATTGAATCCAGGACCTTACTAACTGAGCCATCAAGGCTCACATATTCAAAACAAAGGCACAAGGACATTTGGGTATTTTATTAATGGTGTTGATATCAGGTAAAATTTTACGGCTTGATACATCAACAAAGGTAAACAGTGACAATCGCATCGATTAATCCCTGAAATTGGACAACTGTTAATGTGGAGCTCTGATTGGTAATGAAGCAGATAGATAGGTTTGTTGTAGCTGATGAATCTCCTATAACTTACCTATCTTTGGTAAATGGTTAGTTTCAGGTATTTCCTCAGGTTCTTTTAAAACTCCTTTACGTATTAATTCTTCACGACTTGTTCTCATCGATATTTTTCTCTCTAAATCTGAAGAAAAGATTCAAAAAGTTTGTTTTCAATCCAGAGAGAAATGAATAATCAGTCTGTAAATAAGATTCGTGTTCCTTGTGTAAAAAACTAATCAAGACAATATCTTTTAATTATCTACCTGTCATCTAGGAACTATTTTCTTGGTGGATAAACACTATTAAATAACATGTAGCAAGTAAACAAATGGTATAGAAAGTTGTTAATCATTAGTGGAGAAATTGAAGTCACATCTTTGTTGAAATGACTATGAATCAAATGCTAGCCAAGTATAGGTTATATGGAAACTTACAGTGTAATCATGTGGTAATTGTGATTGGGATTAAATGTCCAAACAATTGTTATTAAAATTTGATATGTCCCTATCGTGCACACAGCTTGACAGGGAATATTTGAACCCAAGGCAATAGCAGTGTTCAATACAAATTGTTTGACCAAGTGATTAGCAGTTTTTAAAGTGTAATATTCTTGTGCTCCACAGCTGATGTTTGTTATTATGTATGCTATATTTGCTATTGTAAAAGTTTCAATTCCAAACATAAAGCAAACTAAAAATGCTTTTTAAAAATAATCAACATTTTTGTTTTTATATTGTAAACAATGACTTGCTCTCACAGGTAACAAATGTCTGTAATATCGGGGGGGGGGGGGGGGGGGGCATCATAAGATCTGTCACTAAGTCAAGTGGCGTGGTAGGGTGGTCTATCCAATTTCCTGGGTTTCTCTCTGGCACTGCTAAAGAACCCTACTTGCAAGTGAATTAATTAGTTTGTGTGGAGAGAGACTCTCTCTGTCTCTGTCTCTCTCTGTCTCTGTCTCTCTCTCATGTAAGTGTGTGTGGCTGATAGAGATGGACACACATTATTGATATCAGATGTTTACTCAGTGTGCCTTCTTTTCAGTGTAACTAAAGTAAAGTTGTTATGGCCTTTATATGGGATGCTGTTGATTTTATTGTGTCGGTAAATGTCTAGCCTACAATCATGCCAAAAAACACATTTCAGGTGCAGTAGGCCATGTCTTGCCAGCATTTCCAGCCAAATCAGCGATGTGTTTTCATTGTGTCTCACTCAGTATATATTTCAATGTCTCGTTTTGCCGTAAGCAGTAATAAATTCAACAACAATGAGAACATCTATCCTATTTAGCACATGATAAATAGCTACATGTATTGATTGTGGATGTTAAGTGCAGCATTTTTTGTAAATTTCTTCTTATTCAATGATATTTTGGACATAAATTAATTGATTTGCTCTGAAACAGAATTAGATTCAATTTAAGCTAATCAATTCTGAATGTTTTTCACAATTCTGAACTTTTTAGTTATTCATTGTGATGTGAATTTGATTAAAATATCCCCTGAAACATGCAATCATCTTGAGGAAGAGGACACGAATCTCCATTCAACATTCATAGATTAATCATGAACATGACAGACGAAAAAATTTCCATTTCACTAACAAGGCCGTATTATTTGCAGAGGACTATGAATCATACATTGAGCGGTCTATAAAATATATGTTTTGGTGACTGATCTTACCTACTGCTGTTTTTTCTATCTTTTCACTTTTTTTTTTTCGTTTCCATTTCCAAGGTTTAAATAATCTACCTAATGCTGAAAATTTACTCTTTCTCTCTGGCGGAGGGGTATTCATACCCAATGAGGCTGTTTTCATTTCCCCATTCTTTCTACTGTCTGAAAAACATAAAATGTATTTAAAAATTAATATATTTATCTAAAATTTAAACATAAAATATCAGTAGTTAGTTTTGACAGCACACAACACTTATATCTGACAGGAATGACTGACAATATAAACATTTAGGTTTACCTTAGCTTTGCCTCTGGAACCTGGGATTTCAAAGTTGATAAATAAAAAGTTTAACAATACCCACAAGTCTTTGTATAGCATACATATCATCATGGACCTTGTAACTAATACCATAAGGTCCATAATAATATACACATGTTACATATATATCAATAAATTTAATTAAAATAAAAAGCAATTTTGATTTTACTATGTATATAATATGAAGGTACCAGTACTCTAATATTCTTTTATTAAAAAAATACACCAACAATTGATAAACTTATGTCTATCACTTCTAGACATTGTATAATACAATTAATAGTGCAATGGCATTCAATGAAAGCTTTCCTTAATAGAAATACTTGAGAACAGTGTACCTAATACTAATATAAAAATGTTTTAACCATATATATCATTACTTAATAGAATAGTAGAGTATTAATCTCTTATAATAACAGCCACTATTTACTTTCCATTTATTATAGCCAACAAATAGAATATTATTCCTGACAAGTACATTTAGTCAAATATATCAACACAATCTGTTTACTTATATCAGTTATATATACGGACAAAATATCACCCCTAACTCTCCTAATTGGCCTTACAGCTACTACTAAGATTGTAGTAGCTTCACTGAAGTAATAGTGGTCTAATTACCTGTAACAATTGTTGTCCTCTAGCTGCTACAGTATACCTGGTACTAATCAATAGGTTCATGTAGTGTAACATATATAAAATTTTATCTATTTGCAGCAGTTCTATATACTATAGTATTATTGATCTCATTTCTAATTAATATCTGTTATCATCCAATATGGCAAGAAAAAAAATACCATTAGGATACACAAACAAAAACCTGTTTAGGGTTACCCAACCGACCCTATTATATGGAGCCAAAATTGATGACGCTCAAATTTTTGCAGACAAAACTAAACTAACACTAAAATTTAGATATCTACAACAGCGCGAATCAGCATTTGAAGAAGATAATACAGTAATTAACATAAAAATAATAAACACCTTTAAGATAACATAACAACGTCTAGTGAATGCAAGTATTCATGACATAAGAACATGTTGTCCATTCCCCTCAACGAATTAACAATAAAAAATCAGCCTTTACGAATCTTAATCTACCCTAGCTGAGCAACAGTAAACACAGGTGTATTTTTTTTGGCCTCACTAGAGTTTTAACCACACCAATTTCACATAACAAGGTAATCGATCAGATTTAGAACGTAAATTTCCTTAGTAATAATAATCTGATTCTTTAGACAGGATACAAGAAATTACGACTACAATTAACTAATAATATACTGGTTAAAGAAAACATACAAAATGAAACATCAATTAATTAACTACAAATCACGATTTATTTGTCACATTAATAAAACCAGATCAGTAACAGGAAGTTTTTGTACATAAAAATAATATACATTATTATGTGTTGTTATAGTTTTTAAAGATATTCAAGGTATTGTGTGTTTATCAGGGCATGAAGGTATAATATAGATGTATATTTATTGGCTAGATAGATCTATTAATATTCTTACATTATCAACTATTATTACTATTAATGGTATTTTTAATTATGCACTCAAACAACTTTCAACACTCTGTCAATATCAATAATGACATCAGTGATTTTATCAATTTGAAATGAATGAATTCATCGAATTCACCAATGGCAGGCTATTTAAAATACAGGAGTGTGACATTATCTATTTCATTGATTACAATTACCCGTAAAACATCAACATAACAATATTGAATATTTTGTTTTTATTGATTTTCTGTTTATTGATTTCAATTTTGCCAGAATATCACCAGGGGCGCCGGATACCAAAGGATAGGGGTGGGGTCTCTCCCCCGGGCCTCTAGAAAATTTTGAAATTTGTCAATTCCGAGAACGCTGTTTGGAGCACCTCTAGCATTCCAAATTCTAACATAAAACCCTTTAAAATATATGATAATGAAAGAGACAAAAGCCTGATTATTCACATTGATTACAATTACTGGTAAACATCAAGGATGTCTGATTTTTAAAGCAACTAATCAGTCCAAAATGATGAAATTCTGCAACATTCTGCAGGCAATATAAACATGCTTTGTCTACAATATCGCCCTAGGTGGAAGTGGACGTAAAACCACACCAACAAACGAACGATCTTATACATGCAAGTCTTGGCCCAAATATTTGGATTCGCCATTTTTAATCCGATTGAATCCAAGCCAGGAGATTAATCTACTGTTGATTTTTTGGGTTTGTTTTATATTAAATAACTTTAGTCTCCAGAGCGTCCAAAATATTTTTTAGAGTGATCAAGGGCCATAACTCAGGCAGTAATTATCAGAAATTGTTGAAAATCAATAGACTTCTTCATCTCATGACCTTACACACGGTGTATAAAATTAGCCTCTAGAGTGTCCACAAGCAATTGTGATATACAATACTTAACAGAATACAATAATTCTATTATCTATTGTATATCTGAATATCAAATGCATCATTTTGACTTAGTCAAAATTGACCCCATCAAACTGTCTGTAATTGGTTTGTGTTACCTGTTTCTATTGATTGGAAGTTTCACAAGCAATTGTGGACACCAGACTAACCGACCGACGGGGGCGACCACATTTCAATGAGGGCGTATAAAAATGTTATCTAAAGATAAAAGCTACAAAACATCTTAGTTTTGTCATGAATAAAATTATGAAGTTATTGCAACAGTCAGTTTGATTTTGCTGTTTTTGTTATAGTCGTTCAAATCCTCATTTCACTTGTTAAATGTCAAAGTACATTCAACATAAAAATATTGAATATTTTGTTTTTATTGATTTTCTATTTATCGATTTCAATTTTGTCAGAATTTATCCCAAGTATCATAAAGAACATTAATCTTCATCAATATATGTAACATAGAGTTTATGAGAAAATACATCCAACTCAAATACAGTTCCCTAACCCTGCACAAGCTTTCTCATTATCACAAATTCTAATTTCATGCCTCACAAGTCAGTAATGAGAAGAATCTAGCAATATAGCAAAGGAACTTTATTCCATTTATTTAATTTCCTGTCGCCTAATATTGGAGAATTTACTGTCCACGGAAAGAGGAAATATAGTTGCTGTATGGAAATATTGTGTATGCGGGAGATAAATAGCGCCAGCTAAAGTCTGGTCAAGTCAGCTACAGGAGTACGGGACACGAGGCTTTATGTATTGATTTTAGGCAGGAATTAAAATAAAACGACTTTATTAACTATTTATAAGCATTACATTTCTACTGTAACATGTTGTTAGGTCTTTCCCAAGCAGTAAAATCTGTACATTTTCGCAACTTAATTTATGTATGCTTATTTTAAAATCAGTCTGTCAAATTATCAACTAAATGGAATATTCTAAGGATTGAATGAACAAGTAAGTGAAAAGATGAATAGAGTCTGAGGGGTACATTAAACAATAATACCTCAAGTGAACAAAATCACGACCAGAAATGAAATGACAATTACGGTGGTATAAGCAGTATTTAAGGGTGGGAGAAATGTTTTAAAATTACCAGTACCTAAAACTTGATATGTAGCCAGGCAACAAAACAATGAAATGAAATGAAATGAAATGGGGTTTAACGTCCTACTCTTAAACTGTGCTAATGAAGACAGGGCATACGCCATACAGTATGCAATGAGGGAAATTTTGCCCGGGAAGCAGCACTACGGCCTACTCTTATATCGAATTCCAACTGCCAAGGGATCTTTTACGTGCACGCCAATGTGTACATGGGACCTCGGTTCCTTAAATAATTCTCAGAAATTGTTAACCAATGCAATAATAGAGAAAAAGATCATTACTTGAGGGACTCTGAATCTCCCAGCAAACTACAATATTGTCAAAAGTTGAATCTCTAAAATTCATTTCACAATATTCACAATCCTCTGTAGACAATATAAGCAAGCCAATTCTACCATCAGTATAATCTCTAAAGGGACCTCTTTTTAATCCATTTCAAAGATTATCTACTACCAATATTTTAGTTTTTTTATTTCTTAATTAAAAATAACCAATCAAAGTCTATTTTAATGTGGATTAAGCCATGAAAAATTAGATCATGTCTGAATAATGCAAATGACAACAGCTGCTTTAAACATCTTGATTTTGCAATGATAAGATAGTTATCTTATAAAAAAGATGACTTTCTATTTTCTATAATTATGTCTTTAGTTATAATTAGCCCTAATTACGATAAATGATCCTTGACAATACCACTGAAAAACAAACAAGGTGAATGAGTGTATAAGCTTCTGTAAGGCTGAGATGTATGATACATGAACACTACCCTTTTAACACCCTTTTGTTGGAATGTTGAAAGATTCACAGCTACAGTACATGACAAAATGGCTCATAACTGGATAAATTTAAAACTACTACCATACAACAAAAGCATAGGTTTGAAGGTAATTGTAACTACAACGTCCAAGTCAGAAATGAAATGGGGTTTAAAACGTCTTACTGTTTCGAATCAAGACAGGCATATTATACAATGTGAGGCACATTTTGCCCAACAAGCTGTGCTTCGGCCTATGGTAGAATTCCAGAGAGGGTTTCACCAGTCCTCTAGTGCACTAGAAATATGGGTAATAAAAAAAACCAAAAAACAGAAGGTATGGTGGCAGATCGGTATCATGTCATTGTGTCGTCCTTCATAAGGCGACAACCCGACATCACAACATTTTCACCCGACGTCACAACATTTTCACATGACAATATGACATTTTTACCCGACACCATGACATTAAATATGCTGTAATGTCTCATAAAAATGTTGTATTGTCCTGTTAAAATGTTGTGATGTCGAGTTGTCGGCCATCGGGTGTGCAT